GGATTGAGTGTGCTCTCAGCAAGTTTGCCGATGACACCAAGCTGTGTGGTTCAGTTGATACCTTGGAGGGAAGGAATGCCATCCAGAGGGACCTTGACACACTTGTGAGGTGGGCTGATGCCAGCCTCATGAAGTTTAACCATGCCAAGTGCAAGGTCCTACACCTGGGTTGGAGCAATCCCAGGCACAGCTACAGGTTGGGCAGAGAAGAGATTCAGAGCAGCCCTGCAGAGAAGGACTTAGGGTGTTGGTTGATGAGAAAATGAACATGAGCCGGCTTCAGTGTGCGCTTGCAGCCCAGAAAGCCAGCCGTATCCTGGGCTGTGTCAAAAGGAGCTGGACCATCAGGTCGAAGGAGGTGATCCTGCCCCTCTACTCTGCTCTTGTGAGACCTCACCTGGAGTACTGTGTACAGTTCTGGTGTCCTCAACATAAAAAGGACATGGAACTGTTGGAACAAGTCCAGAGAAGGGCCAGGAGGATGATCAGGGGACTGGAGCACCTCCTGTATGAAGACAGGCTGAGGAAGTTGGGGCTGTTCAGCCTGGAGAAGAGAAGGCTGCATGGAGACCTCATAGCAGCCTTCCAGTATCTGAAGGGGGCTATAGGGATGCTGGGGAGCGACTCTTCATTAGAGACTGTAGTGACAGGACAAGGGGTAACGGGTTAAAACTTAAACAGGGGAAGTTTAGATTGGCTATAAGGAGGAAATTCTTTCCTGTTAGGGTGGTGAGGCACTGGAATGGGTTGCCCAGGGAGGTTGTGAATGCTCCATCCCTGGCAGCGTTCAAGACCAGGTTGGACGAGGCCTTGGGTGATATGGTTTAGTGTGAAGTGACCCTGCCCATGGTCAGGGGGGTTGGAACTAGATGACCTTAAGGTCCTTTCCAACCCTAATTATTCTATGATTCTATGAATATTAGCACTCTAAAATTTGATATCTTGTCTAAGTATCTTTTCTGGAGTAGCTGAAGCTAGACATGCATATATAGAGGGCAAATTAACTGACTCACAGGAGCCTGTCTTAAATGACTCTGTCTCACAGGGTCATTCTGATGATAAATGAAATGGAAGAGGGATGATGCAAAGTGAGCTAAATACTTCGTTTCAAAGCATTGCCTCTGATTTGAAAGACCTGTTTTGTTTGGAATTCTTTTTTCAACATTAAAGACACAATGTATTCTACATTCTAGAGTGTCTGGTCTAATAAACTAATAAACTCCCCAAAAATTTATTATCTTATTAGTCTAGATACTCTAGATTCTGATATAAGCCCATTTTCCAATAAATAACTTTGAAGACTGTGATTTCTGTTCATTGATCTTGATCATATTGCTTCTTGGTGGGGGCAGATGAGATTGCAGAACTGTCTACTAGGCTTAGTGATGGGTACCCTGGAAATCACCCTCTAAGTGATTTCTCTGACTTTCTTAACTCCAGTTGATGTCCTGACTACATCTATAAAGCTGATACATCTTCAGAATAACTTTGCAGAAAGATCCTCTAAGGGTTTCTCTAAGGGTGATTATCAGCTGGTTTTCATCTTAGCTAGTTTTTTTATTATTATTAGTCTCTTTTTTTTTTTCTCTTTTTTCCCCTTTCCTGTGATCTTGTTTAGATCTAGAAAAATCAATAAGTCTCCCAGAAAAAAGCATTCCTGAAAGGTTAGGGTGCATGGAGCCACATTAGCTATTAAAAGTGTCTGCAGGGCACAGTTCCCAGTCAGTAGATGTGGGGGTGGGATTTCTTTCATTTTAATATCAGATGCCTGCAAATTATTTAAGTCTGTGTTAGTCACTGAATTCTGCCTGTATAGTGAAGGCAGCCTTCAGACACCCATTCACTCCTTGGCCTCCAAGTTAGATTTCATTATAGGTGTCTATAATCCTGTTTAAAAGAAAAACAAAAAAAAACAAACAAACCAACCAATCCCTAAAATGGGTTCTCCTTTGCATCAGGACAGGTAGAATTTGAAGACTGCCAGGCAGCACTGTCTCTGAGCATCTCATGGATTTTGTAAGTCTGTTTTACTTCCAGCTGCTCCCTCCTCTCATAGGTTTTTCTCACCAGAGACTCTCTTAACCTCGATCCATTGCAGCTGACTTAAACCCTTGTAAATTAAATAAAGAACAGCTAAATTTTCAGCAAAGTAGGGTCAGTTCCGATTTCATTCAAAATATAAATCCAGGTGATTTAAATACACTTTGCAAGAGAGGGTTAAGTTACAATAATAAACTTACTTGCATTGGCACCAGCTCATGTAGAAGGAGAAAAATAAAAATTGTGCTCATCCAATTCTATACAGCTTGGCAGGAGATGGGAAAAGCAGAGCAGGGTTTCTAGGAAAGTGCAAGGAAAGTCACTGCTTAGAAAGCTGATCTGGTGAAATTTACTTTTTTAATTTTTTTTTTCCTGGATTCTCACAAAACCACACAGGCCAGGAGGGATTTACTTCAGTGTCTGCCACAGTGCACAGCAATGTACACTGGTCCAAAAAGAAGCCTTTTACAGATGATGCTATATGTGCTGAGCATTTCTGTGGCCCTCTTCAATTAGATGAAAAAGAAAGTCCCGAATTGCAAAGAGCACTAACATGCTCTTATAAGCATCAGCCATGTAGAAAGACAGACTACAGTTCATGCATATACCTAGCTATAATGGAAGTTTAACATATATTTAAGTTATGACCTTAAAATGAGAGTTAAGCCTCTATATATCCCTTGTAAATTTAGTTGGACAGGAAGAGCTCTGATTTGGCGGTGTGGAAGCCATCCCATTACTGCCTTGCAGTTTCTTCTCTTCCTGCAATGTGTCTGGACCTTCTTCTGGTCCTGGTTATCCAGAAACACTCATGTGTTCAGCTGTGGGGCCCCTAACACAAGAGGGACATGGAGCAGGTGGAGTGAGTCCAGAGGAGGCTACAAAGATGCTTCCAGGGCTGGAGCACCTCTCCGATGGAGTCAGGCTGAGAGACCTGGGCTTCTTCAGCCTGGAGAAGGCTCTGGGGACACCTTAGAGGAGCTTCTAGTGCCTAAAGGGGCTGACAAGAAAGCTGGAAGAGGGGATTTTGACAAGGGCAGGTAGGGACAGGAGAAGGGGGAATGGCTTTAAACTGACAGAGGGGAGATTGAGATGAGATCTGAGGAAGAAGTTCTTCCCTGTGAGGGTGGTGAGGCCCTGGTACAGGCTGCCCAGAGAAGCTGTGGCTGCCCCATCTCTGGCAGCATTCAAGGCCAGGTTGGATGGGGCAACCTGGTGTAGTGGAAGGTGTCCCTGCCTGTGGGTTGGAACAAGATGATGTTTAAGGTCCCTTCCAACCCAAATCACTCTAGGATTCTATGATCCAGTTCTCTGCTCCTGATTGTCAAAAGGCTTTTGTGCACACTGTTAAAGAGGGCTGGGATCCTGGTGGGATTTTGCTTCATTCTTCTGAGTGCTGGCTGATCAGGCTGCAACTTTTGCACTGGTTCAGGCATCTACAGACTGTGGTCCTCTGGGTTACATGAAAACAAAGGGAACGAGGATTTCTTAAGCTTTTTTCCTCAATGACCCCATCAGCAAAATGGGAGCTCATTAATAATCCATTTATGGATTTTGATATTTAGAAATAAGAACATGAATAAAACCCCACTTGTATCTCTGATACAAGCCAGGATGCTGTTGGCCTTCTTGGCCATCGGGGCACACTGCTAGTTTATATTCAGCTCGCTGTCAACCAACACCCCCAGGTCCTTTTTTGCCAGGCAGCTTTCCATCCCTGAGTCTGTAGCATTGGATGGGGTTGTGACTCAAGTGCAGGATCTGGCACTTTGCCTTGTTGAAGCTTATACAATTGGCCTTGGCACATTGATCCAGCCTGTCCAGATCCCTCTGTAGAGCCTTCCAACCCTCAAGTAGATTGACACACCTGCCCAATTTGTTTTTGTCTGCAGACTCATTGAGGTTATATTTCTTCCCCTTGTCCAGGTCATTAATAGCTTCCAGTCACCTGTGACCTCCCTGGTTAGCCTGGGACTGCTGATAAATAATGGAAAATGGCCAGCTTCCTCAGTACCATTGGGTGGATTCCATATGGTCCCATAGACCTGTGTGTGTCTAAGTGGTGTAGCAGGTCACTGACCATTTCCCCTTGGATTCTGGGGGTTTCATTCTGCTCCCTGCCCCTGTCCTCCAGCTCAGGGGGCTGGGTATCCAGAGAACAACTGATCTTACTATTAAAAGACTGAGGGAAAGAAGACAATAAGTTCTTCACCCTTTCCTCATCCTTTGTCACTGTTTCACCCTGCATCTAATAAAGGATGGAAATTCTCCTTAGTCCTCCTTTTCTTGCTAATGTATTTATAGAAACATTTTGTTAATTGTCTGTTACAGTAGTAGCCAGTTTAAGTTCTGGTTGAGCCCTGGACCTTTTTTTTCTCTCTGCATTCTCTCACGGCATCCTTCTAGTCCTTTTGAGTAGCCTGCCCTTTCTTACAAAGGTCATAAACTCATTTTTTTTTTTCCGGAGTTCCAACCAAAACTTTCTGTTCAGCCAGGCCGGTATTCTTTCCTGCTGGCTCATCTTTCTGCACACAGGCACAGTCTGCTCCCAGGCCTTTAAGGTGTCCCTGTCCATGGCAGGGGGGTTGAAACTAGTTGATCTTTAGGTCCTTTCCAACCCTAACTATTCTATGATTCTATAATTCTAAGAAGTAAGTTGTCATGCTGTTGGGTGAACTGAAACTTTACCACAAATCCACTGCAACACAAAGTACTAATTTGCTTAGGCCATTCAGATCCCATTTAGTTGGATCCCCCTATGCTGGAGAAAGGGCACACAGTTTCCTAAAAATAGATGCCTAATGTGATTCGAGGCTCTTGGGAGTCTCAAACATTCACATGGGGCTTGTGGATACCAGACAGGTCTTACAGAAGACTCATGGTCCTCCAGATGTTGGGGACCAGCTGGAATACCCTAGAACATCTCAAATAGCATTGAACACCTATGTTCAGGCAAGTGAATAATAGCCTTTAACCACCATGATCAGCTTGGAGAAAGAGAGAATGGCTCTCCATTTAAAGAAGCTTTCAAATTGCTCCAATACACATTTATGAGAGTCTGACCATGCCCTCAATCCAAGTGCCATCCAAGCTGGGAAAACAGTAATCACAGTATTTGCTTACTTACATATTCCATGTAATGAAGAAAAATACCTAGGACCACATGGGTACAACCAGAATGGGGAAATCCAAGGATTGTATGTGCTTTTGTCCCAGTCTTTGCCTGGAGAGTTTTTTATGCCTCCTTCACTCTGAAAGACAAGTAATTATGAGGAAATCTCAGGTTTCTATTAAAGATAAGATACAGTAATAATCCTCAGAAGTGCAGAAGAACCCTTAAAAAGACAAAATGGAAAAATTTTCAGTATGAGAAAGCAAATAAAAAAAGCCTACATTCATTTTCATAATAAAAATCTGATGAAGTTTAAGTTGATAATATGACTGGGATGGGAGGGGAGAAAGCAGACAGCTGACTCATGTTTTTTGAATGTTTGGGGTTAGCACCAGTGTATCTGGCAAATTCTTCTGTGTACTTAATATGTGTGAAGGAAATTATAATTGGTCCATAGATGATTTGTTAACTAAAAATAGGGCTAAAGCTGTAAAAATATTTGTAACATGAAATTTCACCAACTCTTCATCATTCTTTAGCACTTTTCTCAAAACACATTGCTAACTATGGGGTCTCTAAACACCTCTCTGTGGTAATTTATTTGAGAGCTGATGGCAAAGCTGAAGATGCATTTCAGCACATTGGGTGAGATCTGCAAAGGCAGTTAAAGCAGATGAGGACCAGCCAAGCTAAGGGAGCAACTCATTCTCAATCACAACATTGAATCACCTCACTGACTTAAATGCCTTTACACTACCAGAACCTTCTGTCAGGTTAGAAACTTGCTCTGGTCCTATATTTGTAAGTGAAGGAGCAGCAGCTGAGGTTTGTCTGCCTGGCTGTCTGAGTAGTCTGTCCTTTGTGGTTAAAAATGTCTCTAAAGCAAGGAAATCATCCCAGGATTTACTAATCAACATATTACCTTTCCAGACCTAATTTTGCATGTTGTCTCCACATTTTGAACATCTTCCTGCCCATGAGATTGTCTTGGTCACTTCTTCTGGACAGTAGTAAAAAATCTGCTGGGACACCCATTTTCCATGTACCCCAAGCAGGAATGTTCCCAGATGTCCTCAGCGAACTTGACACGAGAGAGGTACCCCAGGTGAGTCACCCCTGTGTGGTCCTATTCATTACATGGCACATCATCTCATTTTCTTGGGTATATGAAGAGAAAGTCTCAGTCTGAACCTGGAATTGATTGAAGGTCCAGTAGAAGGTGGTGGAAAAAATCCTCTTTTGACCTTCATAAGCTTTGGCTGGTATCCAGACTCCTGACATTCACACCTCCTTAATGCAGCCTCCGGCACTTGAGTCATGTAAAGCTGGATCGGGGAAAATCTCAGGTAATGCAGCATAAGCAGCCACCCCGAAGCAGATGAGCTGGTCAGCTTTTCCCAGCTATGTCATGGTTGTGTGCAGAGTTTATGAAGTGCTCCTTATCCAAGTGCATCCAAACTGAACAGCGGCTTTTGCTGCGCCTGCAACAGAAGACCTCAGAACATGAGCTGCCACCAGCACCTTGCCATTGACCTCAGCCTTTCTCACCTCTCTCTCCTCTCCACAAGCTGTGCCCCCTCCCAGTCACCCCCCTCTTCTTCCTCTCCCCAGACTCATGACAGCACTGTGGCTGGGTCCAAAAATCTGTCATCTGGAGTTTCTACTCCCTGAAATTATAGTCTATGGTTTATGAAATGGTGAAGGCCTGCTCAGCGTTACCTCCCTGTCACTCCTCATTTGCCCTTTATTAATAGGTGGATGAACTTGAACAAATACAGCAAATTCCTCTGCTTTCCTCTTTTTGCCTTTCCATCTCATCTGTCTTTTGCTGCTCTGCACAGTTCACCTCTCAATCTACCCCTTTCTCCCTATTCCAGTCCAAGTCACAAAGCAAGAGTAAAAACAGTGTCCTTTCCCTGGGCTGTTAACCAGTCATATAAGCTTAAGCCTTGTTCACAGTTTGCAACTAGAAATGAGAAAATGTATGTGCTCACTCATATGTGCAAATGCATGTGCATGTGTGTGAAAACACTGCCTTTACATCAAGGTTTGCAAGAAAGGGTGGAGACCTTCCTAAGAAATCTGTCTGGGAATTGGAGCAAACCGCAAGTTTTCAGTTAATTTAAATTTTTATTTCAATTTCCACCCTAGCTTTCTGCATTCATAACGTATTTTTTTTCCCCTTAAGGAGAAGAGTTCTGTTGCTTGCAGGCACTAGATTGAATTACAGGTTACTTCTCTTCTTAGTGTGAAATCAGCAGTTACATGGGTCCATATGAGCTGACAAGCCAGCTTTCACTTACTTGGGTCATTACATGTCCATTCCCTCCTCCTGTTACCAGGGGTTGCCTAGCATGGTCTGGTTTGAATAGACCTACACGACTGATGTCAAAAAAAAAAAAAAGGATGCATAATTTATAGGAGAGAAGTTTGGATCGTGGTTAAACCAAAACCAGGTTGCCTTGTGGATGGCTTATAGTAGCAGTTTGGGAAGCCAGCAGCTGGCAGTGCTGAAATCATTGCTTTCGTGAAGTTGGATGTCACAGAAAGCAGCAAAGTCTGTTTTAGAGGAATCCAATAGATTGTTTGTTATTGCCCTCAGGTTACATTTATGTTCATACTCTAGCACAGGGACAAGTCGTGAAGGAGCAAATTCTGCACATACTCATAACACTCTTACCCTTCAGAACTGCTTGTCTGCATTGAAACCGGCTTTGGAAATGTTTCCTTTCTATCTCCTAAACAATACCCAAGAGTTACTTGCAAGTTTGCTAGTTCATCTGGGCTAATATGGTCAGTGTTAATAAATGAGTAACAGGAACAACAGAGTCCCAGCAACCAGAAACGGTCCTATAACTCTTTTTTTCTCTGCTAGTGGAAGTCTGAGATACTAGTAAGCAAAGGTAAAGCATTGTGTAAATGATAACTCCCTCAGTTAAAATTACAACTTTTTAATAATCAGTGCTAATTGAACAGACTGGGAGATACAGGCTTTAGACTAAGAATTAACGGACAGCTTATGAGATAAAAAATGTCAGCTGTGGGTTTCTCACATCAGGGTCTTATGTTCGGGCTATGCTTTTAAAGAAATAATGTCACCATTAGCTATCCTTTATGCATTTGGCTTACACAAAATAAGATTTAGTCTTTTTCTTTTTGAAACAATCATCACCCAGCCATCAGCATCAGCATCAACATCAACACCACTGGGAGGCATAGCCCCATCAGATCTCCTTTCTATGATGGCTAGGCAAAGCTGGACTTCTTTTGACATATCCTTGTGACTAGAGCTGAAAAGACAAGTTTCACTGGAAGTGACCAGAGTTGTTGGTCACCTTTCTTGCTGGAAGAACTTTGTTTCCCAATCTGAATACCAGATTCACCCACATCTTGGCTATCAGGAATTTTCTGGGTTGTTGGGCTAGTAGCAGAGTCCAGTCAACTTTAAAATACGCTTTGCATTTACTCCTTGGAGATTGTCCTCTCCACAGAGACCCTGATGTCTCTAGTTGTAGACCACACTGAATGAAGGACTCCCGCCTGAGGATCATAGGAAACAAGCTACTGTCAGCTGTGCTAGTGGAATGCAGGAGCCATGGCGTTCTCTGGAAAGAAAGCATATAACAAAGAGCCTGGATGTTTTTTTCTATTTCTTTCCAAATTTGTGGCTGTGTGAGTGCTGGATTTGTGCCAATTCAGGCCACTGCACACAGCACAGCAGAAAAAAACAAAACAAAATCTTAAGGAACTCAGCAGAGCAGTCCAGGCTTCAGTAGCTGCCACAGCAGGTGGGCAATGTTAACTGGGCTTGGCCGTCTTCAGCTGTTTTGAACATTTGCTGATAGAAGGAGATGATCAGAGGTCATGTCTGTGTTACAAGGGAGCACTGTTTCCGCTTTGGGATATTAGTCATTAATTAAGAGCAGGTGTTGGATGTCTAGACAACTGTGTGGGCTAGCCAGCAAAAAAAAAAGTGGATTTTCAGGTGATTTTGGGAAAAGGTTGGGAATTAACCACTTAATAAACTTCATTTTATTTTTAGTTTACAATGTTTAACCATGGAATACTACTTTTTTTCCCAGTGAGAAGACAGATAATTTTCATAGAATGGTTTGGGTTGAAAGGGACCTTAAATGCTCATCCAGTTCCAATTCCTTGCCGCAGACAGAAACACCTTCCACTAGACCAGGTTGCTCCAAGCCCCATCTAGTCTGACCTTGAACACTGCCAGGGATGGGGCAGCCACAGCTTCCCTGGGCAACCTGTGCCAGGGCCTCACCACCCTCACAGAGAATAATCTTTTCATAGTGTCCGATCTATCTTTCCTCTGTCAGTTAAAAGACATTCCACCTTGTCGTATCACTACATGCTCTTGCAAAATGCCCTGTAAAATCTTGCAGAATAATGCTGGGGAAAACAGCTATATGAGCTGGGCAGGTAAAGCTGTCCCTTAGCCATTTTCCTACTTCTTTTTTTCTACTACACCTTATGTTAATACCATGTAAGTGTATACAATTTTCCCTGCATGTCTGGACATCTCTCAGCCACATGGAATCCAATAAAACAAATAAATGAATTGCTTTCTTAATCAAAACCAACAATTATTTCAGTTTTTTTTGGAATAAATGTGAAGTTTTCTTCTATAATTAAAGATCACACACTTTTCTAGAAGCACTTAAGCGTATGCTTAACATGCAGCACATTTTCAGATTCTTTGCTGAATAACGGCTTTGATCTCAATTATGTTTTTGATTTCCCCTCATCATTTCTCATCCCTTTTCTCATCTGTAACTTCCAATCTAAGCTTGCCTTGTATAAATAAATCCTAAATTGACGTCATTTGTCTGTGGTATGGAACACTGTTTATATTGAATCAGAATTGCTGTTTTGTCAGTGTGGAAAGCAACCTGAATGGTCCAGGTGCAGAAGCCTGAAGCTTAGGGGCTTGAAATGAACATTCGGATTGATCCAGCCAAATTCTTACATTAATTAACTGTACTTCTTAACTGTTCTCCCTTTTTGTCCCTCCACCCAATGCTCCTTTGTTAGATGAAAACATTATCTTGATTCATGCAGTATAGATTTGCTTTTGGTCTGACACAGAACTGAAGTGAATTTTGCTCGGCAAAGTAGGTATTGCTAAGGTTGTTGGAAACAGTGTGTGATCTCTATGTGAGTTTTTCTTCTCTTTTGTATCTTGCCATTGGAGGTGAAATCAAAATAGATCTATAAATGAGGTGTGTCTAATTTAAAATACTGACTACTTTTTTGGTGATAAATTTGCTGTAGCTATTTCCTGAAGGTATTTCTTTTCCCCACTTGTGCTGAGAGTTGAGACATTATTTTTCTGTAGAAAGGCTATTTAAAAAGTCCGCTTCCAGCTGAAACAGCTCTAGTCATTGCTAAAATATATATTTGTTTAAATTATTTCTTCTACAGAAAAAAAAAATAAATAAAAACAACCCCTGAAAAGTACAGGTCCTTCATCAGAAACTGGTTGTTCTGGCTTCACTAACAGCTTTACCACAGATTTCTTCTAACTTGGGCATGTTATGGTGCCTCTTTACCTTATTTATGAATTGGTCGAAAATATGCAATACGCTCCCTTTGTCTTATCTCTTGATGCTGGCCATTCTGCACAGCAGATTTTGTATATACTTTATAAAAACTATCAGTTACCAAGTGTCATTTATGGGTCCTTTTACAGTGCCAGAATAGTGTATATATTTATAGATATGCGCATAAGAATCAAGCCTTTAATCTCTTGATGCCTTGATCTGTAATGACCATGATAATACTGGCTTTGTCTCTAAACTCTTTGATGCAGGGTGGTTTCTAGCTCCATTGTTTTTGTGAGTCCCTTGCTGAGTGAGGACCTTGTTCTTTGTCGGACCTACTACAACATTCACTATTTCCTAAAACACAGCATATGTCTAAACTCTAACTGGTATTGCAAAACCATGTATTGCCTCTAAGGTAGGTCTAGAACAGCTCCTGGCCCATTCAGTGTCCAAAATTGAATGGGTCCCTCTTAGAAACTGGCTATTTCATGTTATACGTTATTGACACAGTTTGGGGTTTTGCCCCTGGCTAATTTTCTGAAAGCTGCTCAAGCCCTGATCAGAGAACAGAGCGATCACTTTCCTTTTTGACTTCTCTGTGACACTCATATTTCACAACAGCAGCTCAGCTGCTTTCAACCTTTTTGCACATGTGGTCATATGGAAATTTTCCAAAGCTGGATCATGCCTTGAGCAGAAAATTTAGCTCTGTTAACTTGGATCTTTTCTGTGCGTGTGAACCAGAAGCAGAAACCACATTTGAATTTCTGCAGAATTTACATGCATGTTTGGAAAAAAGGATGAAGGGTTCTCAGGAGAAGAAACTGGTTCTTTGTGGGTGTCATTACAGACCATCATTGCAAAATAATAGTGAAAATATGATAACTAAAATTCTTGATTTATCTTCTGTAGATTAAACTAGCAGGGTGAGATTAATTTTTTCTCACTTTATGTATCTATAGGGTAGACTACTTCAGCTGAGCTACTCTTTCTCAGGTCCAAAATCATACTCCAGGCTTCATCAGCTCCCTGCCTGTGCTCAAATCCCTAGGTATTCAGATGAAGCACCCTGGTGAAGGTCTGTCTCTCTTGCAGTGACCAGAGCAGGCTGTGAGACTCTGTAATTCCCACAGAAACCAGGATGCTGGAAAAATTCCTGCTAAGGTATTGACAGAGGGGATATGGCGGAGAGCAAATATCTGACTAAAAGGTGGCCAAATCTGTTCCACATTATGAAGGTACTAATTACTTTTTGAGGACAACAATGAAGTGGGTGCGTGGCTTAGAAAGGTTCTGATCTCTTCTTGGTGCCTTCCACATTCAGTGAGGCTGGTGGGAATGGCTCAGTGTAATGCATATTGTACCAACCTCCCTATGTAAGTTTTGGACATTCATAAAAATAGGTGAATTAAATTCTTCTCTGATGTGTCCCTGTGCTGATCTTCTACATAGTGACCTGTCCTACAAACCAGCTGGGTGCTAATGGTGCTAATGACAGTGCTATGAGGCTGCAGAAGTGAATATGAACTGGCCAACTGAAGATGGAAAAATCACAAGTTTGCTTTTAAACTGCTTTCTCTGTTTTTCCCCTTCACCAAGATATCAAAATATGTATTTTTTCCCTTCACTTAGATATCAGAATATGGAAAAATATTCAAAATGTATCAAAACAAGGAAAAGAAAAGCAGCTATCTAGAATTATATTTTTGCTTCCTATGTTTCTTGCTGCTGAAATTAGGATGTCGTCTGTGGAGAGAAGGGAAGGAAGGAGATAATTTTTTCTATGAGTTTTCTCAAACTTAAACTAATATTTTTTTTTTAGTGGTTGGGACCATGTGACACAGCTGAAAGTTACCGCGATGGGGAAGTTGCTAAACACCACTTTGTCATGTAGATAACGATTTGGCTTGTGGACTGGTGTGGATTGGTTAAATCCCAGCAGCCTAATGCAAACCCCAAACAATTACATGCTAGAGCATACTTAGAAACTGTTTGGCCACAAACATGTTCAAATCTCCTTGGCTTGGTGACACAAGGTAACACAGTCCTGTCTACTGCCCAGATTTCTACCTCCTTGTGATATACCTTCCCCAAGGGATGCTATCAAGCCAGCTCTAACTCCTCCCACATTTCTGCTGGTGATGGTCCCTTTTCTTCTGGTGCTTAGTAGCTTTCATGGGGAGTGTCTTGTTGGGATTGTGTCTGTGCTGTAAGCTGATCCAGCCATCAGTCAGGAGGTTTTAGCCTGCCTGAAAAGTTTGAGGAAGAGTTCCTAAACTTCACAATGCATAAGCCGGGAGAGCATATGGCCATAAATCCTATAAGCTTGGACACTTAGTGGTGATACAATAGTACTTGATGGACTCCTCTGGATAATGCTTCTGTAATGTAAGGTGGATGCAGTGGGGAGAGGCTGGAGCCTCAGGGTCAGCTCTATGGGCTTTGCTGTCTTATTCAATGTGGCAGATATCCACTGTACACAAAGAGAGATCCAGCATGAAGCAATACATCTAGGCAACTGCTTATTGAACTTCCCAACATAAAGATGTAACACTGCATCATCTGCTGGGAGAAGTTTTCGAGAGAGGAGACTTGATGTCCTCACAGTGCATCTGAGAGCTTCACCTTTGCCTCCCGCTCTTATCCCCCAGCTGAGGAAGAAGAACACATGTTTAGCCTTCTCTTCCCTTCTCTGCTCCCCTGAAGTACAGTTCATATTAAGGCTCTGTTTTTTTTTGTGGGTACCATGAGCGTCAGGGCCCTGAAATGCCAGCCCTTGTGCCAACAACAAGATATTTTAAAGGATTTTTCTGATATGCTTTTATCTGATTACAAGCCGATTGCAGTGTTTCCTACTAGGGCTTTCTGAGTAGCGCCACCCCCTTCCTCCCCTCTCACATGTCC